TTTTTTTTTTAAAAAAAATGTGTTATATGAATACAATTACAAAAGAATAAATTTGTTTAAAATGACAATTATTGAAAAATTTACGACGACAATTTGGTATTACGTTTTCCACACTAAATCTCAAACTGTGAAATTAGTCATTTACATTAATATCTTAAATCGAATATTTGTAGTATTTTAATTATATATTAAATCGTCATGATGTATAAAACAAAATTCTATGAAGCCATCGGATGGTTTTCTTATCGATGGCTCCATAGCAAAACTTTGTATAAAAAGTTTGTGTTTATCATTTCTTATTGTAAAATCAATTAATTAATTGTTAAATAATGGTAAATGCTAGTTTTTCACAATAAATTTATTTATGTAGAACTTTTTATAATAAGTACTTATATATATTATATAAGCAAAAAGTTAATATGTTTAAAAACATAATAATTGATATACAAAATATCTCTGCTATGCAGTAACTCATGTTGGTATGTTATCGCGACAATTGTGATCGATTAAATTTAAAACTTTTAAAAATTGATATATATATATATATATTATAAATATGTATAAAGTAAGACATATTTAACTCATCTATAGATATATAATTTATAATCTTAATAAATTGTCATTTGTTATATACATTTACTACATGAATCATATTTTTATTATTTCATAAAGTTACATATATTTAAAGAAAATAAGAATAATTCATTTGATCAATCGGGTGATTGAGTTAGGTTAATGCTTCTAAAAACATGACACAATTGAGGTTGATCATGGGTGACCGACTTATGGTTCAATGACATACCCGAGGTTGGTCCCCGGTGACCAAGTTATGGGCCACTTTGACCAAATCAATTTGGCAAATGAACTAAATATAAACTTTAAATATTAAAAATACTTTATTACAATAAATATAAGTTCATACTACAATTAATCATATTAAGAATGCTTTAACGAAAACATGTTCAATAATTTATAAACACTTAATTATTTTATTAATATTTATGTGAGAAAAAGACTATTTTCAAACCGATCAAGTTATTTATTCAATAATTTATTGGCCAAATCATAATTTATTTTATTAATATTTCAATACATACATATATATATATAGTACATTTATAATAAACTTATTACAAAATAATAATTAAATATCTGAACAATTTAAATTTTTTCAATATTTAAACTAAATGATAAATAAAATAAATCTCCATTTTATTTCAATATGTATTTTTATTTATATTACAACTACTTTTAAATGTAACAAAATCCATTCAAAAAATTGTACCGCTATTATTAGTCCAACCGATGGGTTTTGACCGATTCTTAGCAAATATTTTATTCAAGTGAACTGGATTGGTCGATAAATTGATTCCCAATGCATCCATTCGACTATTCGGTCCGGTCTGATATTTAAAACAATGGGTAAATCATAATTAACGTTATTTATATATTTATAAAAATAATTATAATATTATTCCCCGTGCATAGTAAGGGTAATGTACTAGTTATATATAAGGGGGTTGTTGTTCACTTTTTATACATCCTAATTATATTCTTTCTTTTATTTATAAAATTTAGTTGTGATTTATAATTGACGAATTAGTAGTTGGTCTATTTGCATATGTATCATGATTGAACATAAAAAAAATTGCAAGTTTACATAATTTTAAAATTATTTGTGCATGTACAAAATTCAAGCAAAATAATTAGGTAGTTGGTAGATACCAAAACACTGTATTGATATATAGATTCCTAACTAAATCTCGTAACTGAAAGGTTGCTCCATATTAATGAAATACCATAATTGAACAAATTTACATTAATAACAAAAATATCATCCCTAAAAATACTCTCTCTCTCTCTTATCTCTTCTATCTCTCTCTCTTATTCCCGTACCTTAACCTTAACCTGGTATGTTAAGAAAAAAAAAAAAAAACACTGATTAAAATACTGAACATAACCATATACATATACATATATGTGAATGTGTCTACGAATACATATACTGAAAATATACTACCTATATACACAACATATACAATATATAAACATCACATATACAGTCTTAAAAACAATTACAGAGTTGCAACCCCATATACTGTAAGTATATCATTCGTGCACATATATGTAACATAATCGTGTTATATACAGTCCGTTCCTTGTTCTCTCAACCCCAGTCGTCCTCTTTCTCTCTCCCCTCGTGACACGATCAATAGCTCAAGACCACCCCCCACCACTCTCAGTCGCCCAACTCGTGTCGTTGCACGTTGGTTATAATAATAGAGATTTTCCCGCTGGTGCCCGACAGATCAAGTTCCCATCGCCCTCGGCTAAAGCTCGTTGTCTGATGACCTCCGCCACTCACGAGCCGGAAGGGACTGCTGCTGGCTTTCAGGCTTCTGTAGGAAAAAAAAAAGAATTACAGAAAGAAGAAAGATGAAGAATATAAGGAAAGAGAAAAAGATGTGGAGTTTTAATGGCATAAAAAGTGAAAACGTTTTTTGTCAAAGTTTAATTCCATAAATAAAATACAATTGCACTTAAGTCATCATTTTAGTATTTATGCAAATAATTATGTTGGTTTTAGTTGTTTTGCTAAAGTTTATATATAAGTAGTATAAATGTAATAAAAATGTTATTATGGGGTGTAACAAGTAATTTTTCTCTTAATAGTTGATAAAGATTGATGTGGGTATACCACTATATGCTACAACTGTAGTGTACAACGACCCATTTACTCGGTCTTTTACCTACCACGCCACAACAAATCTATTGCTATTTTTGAATGACTTGATGATAGTCTGGCGTGCTTAAAAGTTAGGCACCAAAACTTGATGCCGACGTGCTCTTGTAGTGGGTTTAGAAGATTTTTTACCCCCAATAAGAAAAAAGTATATATAAAATAACTGGAAAAAAATATATGCGTATTCTCGGAATACGTTTTAGTGTCAATTAAATAATTACGTAATTAAGTTAATTTAATAACTTAAAACGTATTTCTTAAATATGTTTTATAAATAAATAATTTTATAATCTATTTATAGTAGAAAAAAAATTAAAAAAATGAAAATGCATTCTCAAAATGTGTTTTATAAATAAAATTAATTTTATAATTTATTATTGCATAAAATAGTTTTTTTTTTTTAAATCAGTAAAAAAGTAAAACATATTTTGAAAATATGTTTTAATTTTACCGTAAAATCAATTTAGCCCTAAAATCAATTTTTCCCTAAACTATATTCTCAGAATACGTTTTATAATTAAAAAATAAAATATAAAACGTATTGTTAGAATACGGTTTTACTGTGCAGAAAAAAAAACACATTGTTTGTCGAGTTCCATTTCACAATCAAATATCAATTTGACAAACTAATATCAATCCATTTCTCAAATAATAATCTAACATACACTATATAAAAAAAGTCAACCACGATAATTTTATTCAACAAACAAATATGTCAAAATATCAGTACACAGAATCGAAGAAAAAAATATCAACATAAGGTCCACAAAATTCACCGAGTACAACATAAACTAACTAGGAGTGAATGGATCCCTAGGTCTGCGCTGTCGGGACCCCTTCCGAGCATTGGTCGTGAAGAAGATGAGGCTTCACCTTTCTTCTTTCTGAGAGGCGTGTGAGCTTCAAAATCTGACACATTATGTTCACCTTCTTCTTCTTTACCTGAGAAATTAATTTTTAAGAAAATCAAAAATTCGTCTGGACAAAAATAAATAAATAAAGAAAGAAAACACATCCTTTTTTTGTTAAGTAAAAAAAAAAAAAAAAAAAAAAAACTCACATTTTTCTTCTTGTTGTCGTTGTTGTTCCCTCCTTTGGACACGTTCATGTTCGCGGTCACGGCCGTGAGGTCTTCTACCTCCCCCAATGTTGGCGGCGGGTTGATGCCTCGTCGTGAGTGATTGTTTCCTCTGGGATGAGACGTAGTCCTCCTCGGATAAAACTTATTGAGCGACGCCCCTTATGTAGCATCTTGGCCTCCAATAGTCAGAGAACTATAGGCAAGGTTGTAGGACTGCTGGAATGCGGCATGCGCCCGTGGAGGAAGTGTAGGAATCAAGTCCTCAATACTCGCTAACAAGTTATAAACCTCCTTCAAGGCTTGAGTCTGAAAATAAAATTCAAAGTAATTAGTATGAAACACAAAATAATAATAATAATAATAATAATAATAATAATAATAATAATAAATAATAATAATAATAATAATAATAATAATAATAATAATAATAATAATAATAATAATAATAATAAAACCACAAAGTATGAACACTTACATCGCACTTCTCCCGCTCGGCAACTGGCTGATAGCCGACGTCCTGTTGGAACACCGTATACTTAGTAGGGTCACTGATGAGTCTCACAGTCCTACTATGAAAACAATCAATGTAACCCTCCTCGGCCTGTAGGAAGTCATCCACAGGGACATCGTGGAGGACATTTTGTTCTCTTTCTTCGACCCAATTCTTCGTAAGCTCTGAGTGAAAGGCAGTCCAATCACTAAATGCCTTCCCAGTCATTCTCTAGCCTTCGTGGTGTCTGTCCCATTCTTGATAACCCCTAATCATCGGACTTTGTGGGATGGACTGCTGACACCCAAACTGACGGAGAACCCTATCAGGCAAGTGGACTTCACGTATGTTCCAACAGAAGATCCACCCACTATACATCCAAATATGTGGATCTTCTGTACACTCATCTGGGAGAGTACCAGCCTCCAAGTACTGATCATAAGGCACCCAATCGAACTGTAAAAAAAAAAAATGAATTAGGAATTAAGTTATAAAAATTAAAAACAAAAAACAAAGATAAATTAATCAATAGGACTTAAGAATCTTACATCCAGTCTCTCTCAGCCCTGTCAATTGACCCCGGACAACAGTCGTTTCCTTGTCTATGTGTCTCCTTCCGTCTCACCCACCTTAAAAATCACAGAAAAAAAAAACACTTTGTAATCACAAAATTTTATAATGGAAATAACATAAGTATTAAATATAAATAAATATGATTACCTTGCACCTAAGGGACAACCAGACTGACTTCATTTTTGGACAAAGACGGGGGATACGTTCCCATGCCCAAAACCTACACATATCGACATATGCATTTGTTATTAGATATTAGTCTAAATTAGAATAAAAATAATGAATTTTCAAATACGAAGTAAATAAAAGTACTTGAATCAATTGCACACAACTCTTGATCTACTTTTCCCCGTCCTGTAGGTTGTGCACAACGTTATACTCCGGCCAGGAGCGCCGAACCCCAATTGTACCAGATTTACTCATACATTTTTTTAATTAAAATGCACGTCAAATTTGCGTTTAACATGTTTTTTTTTTTTAAATTAATTACATCAACGTATTTCAAAAATACATTTTTTAAAAACGCATTCTCAAAAAAATGTTTAATAGGTTTCCTTTTTTTAATTAAATTATAAAAATATAATACGTATTTCTATAAAACGTATTTCTTTTATAATCCGTAAAATTAATTTAGGGTTTTAAAAAACGCATCCTAAAAATACAAGCTATAATTATTATTTTTTATTTAACTTCGACTTATTTTGGGAAATAAAACTTTTTAACATTTTTAAAATATAATTTTACAATGTATTACGAGAATATATTTTTTAAAAAAAAAATTGATTAAAAAAACGTATTATGAGAATACATGCTTTTGATTTTTGTCCACATTTTTTTTTTTTTTGTGCAGCTAATTTTTTCTTTTTTTAATATATATAAATCACCCAAACATACATAAAAAAAGTGCCCCCAAAAGCCTTGACACAATCTAAAGCAAGCATAATAATAAAAGACCGAAATATCACGTGAATATCCTTGGGGTTGGTGGGATTACCGGTTACAGCCGGTCACACCGCGTTCACCGACGATTTCCAACCCATCCTGGCACCGGCTATCGCACGGTCCAGTTTCTCCCTCTTGCACAATTCACAGCCGTGGATTCCCCAATGAACCTGCACACACAACCCATCCAAGGGGGACGTTCACTTTCCCCTATATATTGCCACCATTTTCGCCCCCTTCCAACCTCGCCTTTCAGCTCTCCCTCGTATCTCGCTCGCACGCTCGCTGTAGCTTCACTTGAGCTCCGGTTGAACCTTTGGTACGTTTTCTGTTTCATCTGTTTTGTGTTGTGCTTTTCTTTTTTACCATTTTGGGGGTTGTGGAACAGTGATTCTGTTGATCTGAGCTTGGGCAGTCGAGGTCGTCGATTTGATTCTGTTCAGCTCAGATCTGAGTTTGATTTGGATTAAGTTGTTCTAAGCAGTCTTCGCATGTGATTATCAAGTTAGAACTGTGTTGGGCATCTTTCGATTATTGATGTGCATTAACCAGATCTACTCGTATGGTTTGAGCCATGGCGTAGTAATAGCTCTTATCCTAATTTTGGTTCTCAGTCTCAAACATATATGATAATAATGTTTCTGTACTCTATTTGCTGTAAAAGTTGTTGTTTTGCATTAATTCCAGGTTATATTGTCATTGTTTTGCACTTTACCTAATTCATCTGTTGTCTTCAACTGTTGAATGCCTCCTTGATTTTGTGGTGTCCTGTTTTTGGAAAAAAAAAAAAAACAGAGATGGAAACTTTCCTATTCACATCCGAGTCTGTGAACGAGGGCCACCCGGACAAGCTGTGCGACCAGATCTCGGACGCAGTCCTGGACGCCTGCCTTGCCCAGGACCCCGAGAGCAAGGTTGCCTGCGAGACCTGCACCAAGACCAACATGGTCATGGTCTTTGGGGAGATCACCACCAAGGCCTCGGTCGACTATGAGAAAATCATCCGCGACACGTGCCGGTCGATCGGGTTTGTCTCAGACGATGTCGGCCTTGATGCCGATAACTGCAAGGTCCTTGTCAACATCGAGCAGCAGTCCCCCGACATTGCCCAGGGTGTCCACGGCCACCTCACCAAGAAGCCCGAGGACATTGGTGCCGGCGACCAGGGCCACATGTTTGGCTACGCCACTGATGAGACCCCTGAGCTCATGCCCCTCAGTCACGTCCTTGCCACAAAACTTGGAGCCAGGCTCACAGAGGTCCGCAAGAACGGGACCTGCCCCTGGCTCAGGCCTGACGGCAAGACCCAGGTCACGGTCGAGTACTACAATGAGAATGGGGCCATGGTCCCTGTTCGGGTCCACACTGTCCTCATCTCGACCCAGCATGATGAGACGGTCACAAACGACGAGATTGCAGCTGATTTGAAAGAGCATGTCATCAAACCTGTGATCCCCGAAAAGTACCTAGACGAGAAAACTATTTTCCATTTGAACCCATCTGGCCGGTTTGTGATTGGCGGTCCCCATGGGGATGCCGGGCTCACGGGCCGAAAGATCATTATTGATACTTATGGAGGGTGGGGTGCTCATGGTGGTGGTGCCTTCTCGGGGAAGGACCCGACTAAAGTGGACAGGAGTGGGGCTTACATTGTCAGGCAGGCTGCGAAGAGCATTGTGGCAAACGGGCTTGCGAGGAGGTGCATTGTCCAGGTCTCGTATGCAATTGGTGTGCCCGAGCCTTTGTCGGTCTTTGTGGACACGTATGGGACTGGGAAGATCCCGGACAAGGAGATTCTCAAGATTGTGAAGGAGAGCTTTGATTTCAGGCCCGGTATGATATCAATCAACCTCGACCTCAAGAGGGGCTCGGGCAATAGGTTTCTGAAGACGGCAGCTTACGGTCATTTCGGAAGGGATGACCCTGATTTCACCTGGGAAGTGGTGAAGCCTCTCAAATGGGACGGCGCGCAAGCTTAGTTTACAGTGTTAGCAGTGATGTGAAATTATTACTGGGGCCTTGAAGTATTTGTTATTTGTGTTTTTTTTTTTTTTTTTCTTTGCGTTTATTTGGTTTGTTTAATACTCCTCATCTGGGGATGATAAGTTGCTGTTTGGTTTTGGTTGACTGGATTATTGACAGTAATATATTATGATGGTTTGTCAATCAAAGTTGTGGGAATACACAGTGTTTATTGAAGTTTTAATGTTTGGCTGGAAGATTAGATTTGTCAGTATTTTTTCATGTTTTTAGTGTTGTCTGCTAGGCTCAATATACAACATCACAGTTGTCTGAAGAGTATACAATGTTCAAACTTTACAAATGATCAGTAAAAACACTTGTAACTTTGCTAGGAGCATAATGAGATCAAAGCAAAATGTTGGTCAATGTTATAACAAGAAAACACTTGTTGCATTTGTATGTGAGCATGGTGATTTATCCATTAAAGTTGCACCTCATGTTTGGGACTTCTCTTCGGGTGATGTAGTAAAGGCTCATGCCGAACAAACGCTTCAGAGATCCTTTCTGGAGGCAGATAACAGGTGCCACGTGGCTGAATAACCGAGCAGTCCAGGCCCGATTGTGCACAACAGAAGTTGATTATCCTCCTATTCAGCTCCACTGGTGACATTGTATACAAACCAGACATATTAATGCGAAATCGACCCATCCCCTCTGGATATTGGCGACTAACTGAAGAAGATGAAAATAAGTAGAAACGGTACAAGGTGTTGTACCACAAATACCTGAATCGCGGAACCGCTCCTCTCCGAACCGGGTTGCGCTCCCTTGGTCGTCGGTACCTGCAAAACACGCCGGGGGTGGTCCCAGCGCGAACACTCCGACGCTCAAGTCAGTGGTGGTCCAAAGAGAAAACGACAGAGTAACGAGAGCGAATTTGTGTGTGTTGTGTAAGTGAAATAACATGTGCCCCTTTTATAGATGAAGTCATGTAGAAGCTGAAGAATTCTTATCATACCATGAGTCTTCCCCTCAGATTAGGTCAAAATCCTAAGAGTCCTTGAGGTTGCGAACCTCTTTATGACTTGAGCACGATATCCTCTCTGGGCTCTGGTCCCCTCAGTGGAACGTCCAGCTATCTAGGTGCCAAGGTGCCCTGCCTAGCTTACGTTGAGCTAGCCTCCGCCTACCACTCATGTACTCCGAAAGTACCATGGGCTACGCCTACCAGAGCCTCCGCCTACCAGAGCCTCTGCCTACCACCCATATACAAGGGTACCATGGGCTACGCCTACCACCCATGCACAAGGGTACCATGGGCTACGCCTTCCAGAGCCTCCGCCTACCAGAGTCTCTGCCTACCACCCATGTACAAGGGTACCACGGGCTACGCCTACCAGATTTAACAACCCAGCTGAGTGCGACTAGAACCGGATCACAACCGGTCCTCCATGAGCCGCTACTAACGACCACATCATCTAGCCCCCCCATTTCTTGGAATAGCTGTTGGAGCTTGGACAAAGAAATAGAAAAACCTTCCGTGCCCCGGCGAATAACCGCACCCTCTATGCTAGTTGCTCAGGCACACGCGCCAACCATCCATCATTGACGACCTACTGCATGACGACCCGCGAGCAACGATCCTCCGCGCGACGCTGACCACCGCGAGTGACAACCTGTCGCACGATGGCCACCCATGACGCCGACCGCCCGCAGGGCCTTACTCCCTGCGATGACTACCGCACGCGATGCCTAGCAGCCGCGCGATGCCTACCACGCGCGACGCCGGCTCGCCATACGACCACCACGCGAGAGTGCCGACCACCCCATGATGTCGTCCACCCCATGGCGCCGACCCACCATGCGCCGACCAGACCAGGGTGCGACCCGCCGCGTATGCCGACCATGTAAGCCCCGACCCAAAAATTATATTAGTAGCTCGACTTATTTATCGGATTTAGTATTATTTTAATTATGCGGAGAATTATTAATATTAATTGCATAATTTATTTATTATTAAGCCCAAGTAGTATTTTAAATAATCGA